AGAGATCCTATAGGTATTGATCACCACTGTACTTCTAGTAGATGCTAGGCATTATTTGAATATTATTTGAATAATGAGTTGAAAAATTAATTCCAGTGTACATGATAGATCAAAATATACCAAGAAATAGAAAAGCATCTCCCCCGACCCATATACACATACATACACTTACCTGGATGACCTAATTTTTTTAAGGTTATTATTCCAAATCAGAGGTAGAATATTTTGCTGCTTTAAAGACAAATACTATACACTGCTGCAAAAATGACTCCAGCCTATTCAAACTGAATAACTTTGATGAGAAAATAATTTAAATTAGTATTTTTGGTAAAGTAACCCCAAAACTACCCCTTTAGTGTTTCCCACAATTCTTACAACAGTTAAAAATAATCAGATAAAGCAGCTTTAAACATGGTAATTTATTTTATGCGGTTGTTTAAATCCATTGTTTAAAAATGTTCAAAAGGCACTTTAAAAAACATATTTAAAAATACATTTTTTTCTGACTTATTGGTGGATCACTTAAAATAAGCAAGTCACCACACATTTTTAAACCATTCATAATACTATGACCTTACATAATTTCAAAATTCCAAAACACAAATATTCACTGTGTAATATAACACACTGCTTAGCAGTAAGATTAGTTTCCCTCTAATAGATACTTTATATGGATTATTAATTGGTAGGGTCCGCAAAGTTATTTAAACTGAACTGATAAAAACTAGAGGTAAAAGGGTTTGAAACAGAGCACTGTTCACTTCTGAAGCTAGTTTTAGAGTTGATTTCTCTAGGGAGAATTTGTGAAGTTTTTGCTCTAATCTTAGTATTAAAACTTCTATTTCAACTCCAATATATAAACATAAGTCATATTTTTAAATCAATAGAGGTTACATTTAGCATAAAATAAACAACAGGTTGTCCCCCAGACTGCTTAAGAATGTTTCAGTTAGGCCTACAGTAAAGTAGAGAAATGAGGCAAATGAGTTTTTTGGTTTGTTTTTGAGAAAAGGGGGTTGAGGGGATGGAATCCAAATAACTTTAGTTCATTTAGTAATTGTAATATATAGAACTAGTTTAAAACTGTAGACTTTTAACTAGGGCAAGTATCCTGAGAGCCAGCAGGCATTATTCTTAGATTTTTTTCTTTCAATCTCGTAGGGAAATCTAAAGTTAATAGGTATAAAATTATTAGTAAGTGATACAAATTCTAATCACTAATTACAGCCAAATTAACATTGCAAAGGCAGCATTAAAGTAGTTAAGAAATGGAAATTAGTCATAAAGAAAATAGAGGGCAACAAATACAAAGAAGAAATTGTCAAAGACAAAATACTCTAATGAACTGAAAATTTAAATGAGGAACAAAAGGACAGACTTGATCTAATCAATAAAGTGAGGCATTTTTTTCAAGTCTCAATCCAGAAATACTATAGTTTGATAGGCTCAAGGAAGTGAAAAATTAATACTCAAGAAACACTTATGAAAATTATCAGTTAACAAATTTAATGCTCAAATACAACTACCGTATTTCAAAAAATGTTAAAAACTGGCCAGTACTTTATTTTGAATCATCTTACAGTAACAAAAATTCCTCTGAAATTTAAGATAAAACAAATAGTTAAACTCTGGGACAAAAATTTGCTTTGTATCACCTATGAACTTCCCATTTGAAATATAAGTATACTGTTCCTGGGAAACATAAAGATAGCAAAAGCCTTATGGTTTGAGACCACACTAAAATCATTTATCCAAATGACAAAGATGGTAATTTAAAAGATGGTAAGTGATCATCATGAAATCTGCTTATATGTGCTCTACTGAATACTTGGAGAATTTTTTGCTGTACTAGGTCATATAGGACAGTCAACTGATTCTTGAAAGTGATGAAATTTTGATAGCACGAATTAGCAGAAAAACATCTGCATATTATAAAGTAGTATTTTGCTACCCCCATTTAAAGTTTTTTGCTTACAATTGATTTTTTTTTTTACTAACAAGTGAGGACACTCATTTAGTTATGCTTTTAATGAATTATTATGTATTTACTAGTACTTAATAAACTCTTCCTGCTCCAACTGTGAAATTACTAAACTTGGAGAATGACATACATTATTGTGGGCCCTGGTCAATCTGAAGAAGCTAAAGAATTTCGTCAAAAAAATGAATGATCCATGGACCCTTTAAAGTTATCTTTAAAGTCTCTCACATTTAATATAGTATGATCTTGGATGACACAGATTTAAAACATACTTCATCTAAATCTTTGAAAGATACCTTACTTAAGGAGCAATAAATCTTCAGCACATTCCAAGGATTATTGGCATCAGAATCACCCAAGTCTTGGTTCCCAAACTAGAATGAATAGGACTCACTCACCTGGAGGGCTTGTTTAAACACAGCTGCTAGCCTCTCCTCTTGGAGTTTCTGACTCCCCAGAAGGTCTGGGGTGGGGGCCACAGGGAGGTTGCATTTCAAGTTCCCAGATGTGCAAATACTGCTAGTTGGGGACAACGACACATCGAGAACCACTGACCTAGGGAATCTAGTAAGAAAGCACAGTACTGAGCACCATGCTGGAATCAGAATTTCTGGGACCAGAGTCTTGAAATCCGCATTTTAACAAGCTCCCGGGCAAGTATAGAAGAATGACAATTTGAGAGCCACTATGACAACCTGGCTAGTTAATTTGTCTGTTACTGACTGAAGTATCATATCACACATGTTAATAAGTAAAAATGGAAAGCAATAGTGCTAAATGATTAACCTCAAGGCTGACATGGTACAAAGAACACACAGACTTGGAGCATAAATCCTGGCTCTGTTACTTACTTGCTCTATGACAGTGAAAAAATTACTTTAATTCTCTGAGCCTCAGTTTTCTCATCTACAATATAGGAAGAATACCCAATTTGTGAAGATTAACACTAATGTACATAGAATATCTAAAGCACACCATGTGGCATACAGTAGGCATTAGATAAAAATTAGCTATTACTTATTATAAGAAATGTATGAAATATTTCCTTCAATATCTAATTGAATAAAGCAGATATTTTCATTCACTTAGAACAAATATTTACATTCTATAAAACCTTACACTTATTGCTCCGTAATCTGGGCCAGACAAGTATTCTAAAAGTTGTACATATATTCACTCATTTAATCCTCATAAAAATCCTGTGAGGTAGATAGTATTACCATCCCTAACTTAGATGAGAAAATTGAGGCACAGGGAGATTAAGTAAATTGCTCAAGGTTACAAAACTTAGTAAGTGATAGATCAAGAATTTAAACCCAGGCAGCCTGACTCCAGACCCCAGGATTCATCAAAATGTTAATTTCCTATGAGTAAATTTTAAGGTTTTTTAGAAAGTAGCATATATGGACTGCAAATAAATTCATATTCACACCAAGATGAAGAGTTGTTCAAAGAAAAGAATGAATGCCTTGAAATTCTGGCAGGTAACAGTGTCATGAAAACAACAAAAGACAATTTAAGTTAAAAACTGGTGGGACTTTTCAATGTGTGGACAGGACAGGGTAATCCATAATTACCACTAATCGTCACCAAGAACATCCTCTCAATATATACCATTCAAAGAGATCATAATTTTGACATGTTTTGGCACAATAAATATAAACTCTTCAGCTAAGCAGCAGATTCAATGGCATGATAGCCATGTTAAATTTGCATAATGATAAACAAAAAATGTAAATCATTTGTAACATTTAAGATAATCTCATAGAAAGTCTGCAAAATATTATTTTATGATACACTCAGATAATACTACTAAAGACAACAAAGCTTAAAATTTTCTTTCCTTCCAGAAATTCTTTAAATAGGTCACTAAAATCAGAATGAAATATTTACGAACATATTTTTGATGACAGTGTTGAATTGGGTGTTCTGCTCTGTTAGAATTATCTACTGGCAAACCAAAAACCAAACCCACCAACCAATAACCAACCAAACAAAAAACCACCCCAAAATAGTAAGTCAGCATCAAAATTCAGGCTGATTTTCATGAATTAAGTATTTGGTCTTTTAATATCTGGCATAGTTCACTTTGTTTAAGCACTCTGTTTTTCTAATATTTTTAATCAACTCTGGTGAAAATTGTACATTCAAGTTAATTTGCCAGTGCAGCTAATAGCCACCTCAGAGCCTAAAAATGAATGTCTAAACTTTGCTTTAAACAAGTTATGAAAGGCACAAACAAATTCTCATCTCTCAACAGGATGATAACAAAAGGAAACTATAATTATGTAGTTGGAAAGAGTTTTAAATAATCAACTTAAAATGACACTAATTCCTGAGAGTGGCACTGATCTAAGAAAGGCATCCCCAAATAGCATTAAATTTACTATTTATTGGTTACCCACAATTAACAATGGGTAAATTTGGGAACAAAATATTTTAAAATGCATGTTTATAGAATGCTATTAATGCTTTGAGTAAATAAATATTAATAATTAAAACTGTATTCAAGGATAAACATATTTAGAAAAGAGACAACAGGGACTCAGTAAAACATTAATTACTAATTAGAACCGAGTATATAATACAGTCGAGGCCCATATAATTTCAAAATGTGGTTTATTAATGCACTTTAGGACAAGTGCCATTCTTACTTTACTTTGTCTGGAAGAAATACTGCCAATTACAGTCACAGGAAATTTCCATTAGACAAAAACTGCATGTGTGAGTGTGTGTGGAGGGGAAGGGTTTGGTTCATTTATATCATACTACAAATATAAACTCATGTCTTGGGTTTATGAATAACATTAAGCAACACTATTTCCTCCTAAAATTTTCTTTAAGGCAGACCTATTTAGCATCATGTGTGTTATTAATATGTGCAGTGTAGTTTTAGAAAATTTAAGTGTCCTAGTTTCTCAGTGAAAATAATAAATGTGGTCAAGAATAGAAAACAAAAATCTCGTTTCTAGTCCCCACCTGGCCACCATTTTAAAAACACAAGTTTTTCATATATATATATATATATATAATATATATATATTACATATATATATTACTGTATCAAAACACATTTTAACAGACTTCACAGCTCACTTAAAGCTTCAGTTTACAGTCATTCATATGAAAGATTTCTAATATGGAATGTTCACTTAGAAAGAATTCCTCACTGGGATTCCAGTGTTCTGTATCAGAAATGTAGAAGTTCTTCAGTGCAATGCTAAACATTTTACCTCTTCATTTGTGTTTTTCTTTCAAGGGTTCTCATTTTACTTTTGGATCTTCATTTTTGTAATCTCGACTTACTTCTTTTCGTATATTTTCAGGTAAGGCAGGTTGATATCTGTATAAATAACCATATGGACGAAGATGATAAACGAGGTATTCTAACTCATACATAGTTGTAGGATCAACATAGTGAAAAGAAACTGCAAGATCAGAACAGCAACCAGGACCCTAAAAAAGTAGCAGAAACAGGCATCATTAAGAAACAGCACATAGTTAACACACAATATTCACATACTGATGAAGGAAACATTAATTTTAACAGATTCCAAGCACCAAAGTTGGCAAGGTAAAGCAGAGGCACCTATTTATTAGACTTGTGGAAGAAACCAAGAGTTTGTAGAGTTCTTCATGACTTAAACATGAAAACTGCTAAAATATATCTACCTGAAATCATATTCTCTCATAGTCTATAATGTTTTCACCGAAAAAATTCTTGAGACTTCTTCAAATGAAAGGGGCAGCTATACAAAGAATGATGCTCTATTTCCGAGTTTTGCTTTTTTTTTTTTTAAAAGATTTTATTTGACAGAGAGAGACCACAAGTAGAGAGAGAGAGAGAGAGAGAGAGAGAGAGAGGAGGAAGCAGGCTCCCTGCCTAGCAGAGAGCCTGATGTGGGACTCAGTCCCAGGACCCTGAGATCATGACCTGAGCTGAAGGCAGAGGCTTAACCCACTGAGCCACCCAGGCAGCCCTCCGAGTTTTGCTTTTAAACTTCCTATGTTCTCTATCTTTTTGCTTGGCTCAACCTTAGAAAGACAACTTTGAAGCATTCAATGACTACAAAATCCTTGCCCATTATGTGCAACCAAATACTTCATCTGGATATCAACCCAAACAATATAGTATTTACGAGAGGAGTAGTTAGAGTCAAATCTAAGTTTGAATCCAAAGTTTGTCTACTAGGGTCAAATTCTACCTACTAGTGTATGACTTTTGGCAGTTACTTAACCTCTATAAGCTTCAATTTCCCTATCTGCAAAAGATGGTTACTTAAAGGAGATAATGTATATAAAATGCTTGAAACCAGCGTGGCCTATAGTAAATGCTCCATAAATGCCAACATTATTATTGACAAAATAATCACATTTAGGTGGTCCTCAGTAAGTAAGTCAGAGTGAAACATTTGTCCAGAAATATAATTCTCAGATTCCTAACAGAGCTGGTATGAGAATAGGTTTTAAAAAAGACAAAAACAAGATAATTAAAAAAAAAAAAAAAAAAAAACAGAAAAAAAAAAAAAAAGCAAGAACATTAAAAAAGAAGAAGAAGAAACACAAAACTGGCCCCAGAACTAAACAGTTACAAGTTTATTTTGATATTTAGAGAATGTTTCACCCAGGTGACTCCAACAAAACTTCAGATTCTATCTAGTATCTTTGCAAGGACCCAAGAAGAAAGATATTCTGACAAGGTCCCAGAGACAAGGTCCCATTGTAAGCTACTTACTTCCAAACATGAATTATTAAATGTTCATACTGAACATTTAATAATTCATGTTTGGAAGTAAGTAGCTTACAATGCAGTAAAAATTATCAGGGAATTACCCACTGCATCTTCTCTGGCCTTCTCTCTGCACTTTCCTTTGAAACAAACACCAGATATCTGGGGTTTCTGGATAGCTGTGTAGGCACTGGAAAATTATTTGGTGCCTACTTCTTAGCACCGTTGGCAATGTAAGGATAGGAACAAATCTGAAAAGTAAAATGATAAGTCAACTTGTGATCATCAAACCAGCTCCATCCAACAGATACATGTGAGCCCCATGATGCCATTTAAAATCTAGGAGCCACATTTAAAAAGTTAAAAAAAAAAAAGGAATTAATTTGAATATATTTCAAATGAATAAGTCCATATTATTCTTTTCCAATATGCAATCAATATTTTAAAAATTATTAATGAAATCATTCTTTTTATTTGTGGTAAGTTCTTAAAATCAGGAATGAATTTTATACTGACAGCACATCTCAAATTTGGTCTAGCCATATTTCAAGTACTCAATAGTCGTACCTAGCTAATGGCTACTATACTGGGCAGTACATGTTAAACTAAAAGACTAGACCAATAGCTGTGAATTTTAAATTGCTGATCCTCTCTGAAAGCAACTTCATATGACCCTGAAATACTGCAATAATATTTTTAATAAGATTTACTACATTATGTTTCACTCTATGGCATTACTGTTTTTTTACTACATGACATGGATACTGTTATTAAGATTTATAAGCAATAAAAACAGCTATAACTATTAGAAACAAAATAGCTCTTTGCATATAATAATGGCTACTACCTAAACTCAAGAAAGTCAAGTAAAAAATCATCAGATATAGAGAATCCAGGAACAGAGACAGATTTTAAAGATGCTTTTAAGAGGGGCGCCTGGGTGGCTCAGTGGGTTAAGCCTCTGCCTTCAGCTCAGGTCATGATCTCAGGGTCCTGGGATCGAGCCCCACATCAGGCTCTCTGCACAGCAGGGAGCCTGCTTCCCCCTCTCTCTCTGCCTGCTTCTCTGCCTACTTGTGATCTCTCTCTCTCTCTCTGTTGAATAAATCAATAAAATCTTTAAAAAGAAAAAAAAAAGATGCTTTTAAGAAACAACAGCTGGGACGCCTGGGTGGCTCAGTGGTTAAGACCTCTGCCTTTGGCTCAGGTCATGATCCCAGGGTCCTGGGATCGAGCCCATC